CCCCATCCCCAACACACACACATTGAGCCCCTTCCCCTTCCCTACCAAGTACCACTCTCATTGGGGTCACTGCCTCTTATTGGGGTTTCTTCCCATTTGGGTCTCCATTGTTCCTCCTGTATGTTGGGTAACCTCCGACATTTATCTTCCAACCTTTGGGTTATCCCCTACATATTCCCCACCCATTTAGGTTCCCCCTTCTCGTTTTACAGCCTCTCTCTTCTCATGTGTGTCCCACCAGATTGGTGGTGCTCTCCCATTTTGGTCTGTCCTGTATTAGGTACCTCCTATATTCCCCTCCCACCTTGGGGTCTCCCTAACCCTTTGTAGTCCTTTACATTGGCATTTCTTCCTATTTGGGTTCCCTTCTCACATTAATAAATCCCCCCGCACTTTGGGGGTCTTCTTTTGTAGCCCTCCTGTATTGAGTTTATTTCTGTTTTTGGAGTCCCTCCCAATATTGGGGGCGGGAGTTTTCACTCCTCCCTTCCGGTTATTTCACTCCAGTTTTGTTTTCTCCCCTTCCCCACAAAAGGATATCTTGCTTATCCAAGCTGGGCTTGCAATAAAGAAATGACATCACATTTAATATGGGTGGGGTTTCTTTGGGGCAGACCCTTGTGACAGGAGATCACCTAATATGGGTGTTAGTCTAAGTTATGGGTATAATCAATACACACTGTTTTATGTATGGCAGGTTATGGGTCATTGAGGTGCAATATGGAAATTTAACATTTATAATGTTATTCTACCTATTATGATGCTGGAGAAAAAATCCTTAAAACAATAATTTTTTTAGAGTACCATAAAGTTACTATGTAGCAATTTTATAGTATATTCTCAGGAATATTGACTTGCTTGAATCTTCAGTACTATTGGCCCTCTTTTGGTGACAAGTCAAGACATCTTGTATAGTGCCTTATTTGGTAACATAGTTTCTACTCATGAGACTTAAATAATGGAGACCACCTTAGAAATCTTTAATGTTGCTATTTTTTAATATCCTTCTTTGAAATTAAGAAGGGAAGTTGGCATAATTTTATTCTGGTGGCTGTACCTCTTAGGTACTCTCTTATTTAAATGCATGGCTCCATAATTCACGTGCACATGAGTAAGATTGCATCATTGATATGTTGTCGGTATTGCCTCCTCAACATTGGATTTCCCATTGAGAGCTCACAAGATCAGTTATATTCATGCTGTTGCTATTTTTTGTTTTCTGCATGCCGTAGGTCAGAATACAAAACGTGAGTCTGGAAGGAAGGTTCAGATTGGAAACATCAGTGCAGCTAAGGTACTGTTTTATGCTACCAAGTACGTTTGCAAACTAGAAATCCAAAGCATAATGAACTTAGAACATTTTTAGCAGGTCCTTTGGCTTCCCTATAGTCCACTTGTTGATATTTCTTTACAAATCTGAAATGAAGATATACCTAGCTCACAGAGCTGGAAAGGACCTTGAAAGGTCATCGAGTCCAGCCCCCTGCCTTCACTAGCAGGGCCAAGTACTGATTTTTGCCCCAGATCCCTAAGTGGCTCCCTCAAGGATTGAACTCACAACCCTGGGTTTAACAGGCCAATGTTCAAACCACTGAACTTCTCCCTTGCTGTGCTAAAATAACAGGTGCAATTGAATAGAACAACTTTTTATGCTAGTGATGACAGTATACAAAAAAAAAAGGTAGAAGAAAAATTAAACTTTAATCCAGAATACTGCATAAATCTGAACCTTGACCCCTTGTTTAGCAAGTAGTTTGGGGTGATGTCTGAGCAGATGATTAATTTAAAATATTGTGCCTGATCTCTGAATAGAGGCAGCTGTTGTTTTAACCTTTAAGCGGTATTGTCATGCCTAATTCAAGCTTAGTCTTGCTGCATCCAAGGAACTGTAAAATCATTGGGTCACTTATGTTAATTACAAGGTCTGCATTTTCTGTGTAGTTTGGAGGGATTATTCAAGCCCATTTAGAATTTTGAAGCACTGAATGTGGTGTTAATGAAACCCTGACTGCTGGACCCAAGGGATTAAAGGGAGACAGTTTAGAGTCAGAATGGGCAGCCTCATATTTTAGAGTGCAGGGCAAAAATTGAAACGTTAGACAAAGTCTGAATCAGTTCAGTTCTTCAGTGTTATTTACATGCAGTTCAAAAGTAGAAACCACACACCCAGTCCTTATAGCAACATGCACAGTGTGCCTAGGAATTCATAACCTCATGTGTGACATCTAGGAGGTAATATATGGCTATTTAAGTCCTATCTATTTCTTTGTAAAGAGTTTTGTACTGGTAACTGGTATATAAAAGGCGCTCTGTACCATCAAACTAGTATATGGTATGTAGCTACCTCAGTACTGACTAATTGCACATATGTATTGAAACATTTCATGGGGCGATACACAAAGAAGCAACCTTCATAGCCAAGGGTCCACCTAGTTCATTATCTTACCCCTGACTCTGGCTAATTCTCGATGTTTTGGGGGAAGGTGTTTACTTTTCACAAGGGACCGTTATCTATCAGCATATCTATGGGTAGTGCCTTCTTACCCTCAGGATTGCTTACATTTTTTCAGCAATTAATATCACAATATTAAATCATGCATGAGCAGGACAACAGTTTTGTCCAGCTCGCTAGCTGGCTTTAAACTAAAGTGTGTGCCATTTCTATATATGCTTTCCTTACTACGTATACGTCAAATGTTGCCTAGCTCGTACTATTATAGTTATATTAGAAATCGGAGTTTCAGACCTTTCCTGTTCATGTTTAACTCTTGATGCTGTCAGAGTATATTGTCACTGAGTTTTAACACACAAAGTTCATGCTTAGTGGCAAAGAGGTCTGGTAGTAAGAGGTTAATGAACTGAGGCAGTACATACTAGGAGTGAATTTTTCTCTCACCCACACTCTAAATATTAAACATAGGTCACTTTTTGGTATAAAAACTGTAACATTCAGCTTAGTAGCTTATCACTTGATATTTTCTCTTCCCCTCCTCATGAGCTTTGCTTTAAAAAAAAAAAGGCAGAACATATATTAGTTATGAACAACTCCTGCATCATCTCGTTTTTCTTTCATTTTAGACCATTGCTGACGTTATCCGAACATGTTTGGGACCAAGAGCTATGATGAAGGTAAGAGGTTTTCTTGTAGTCCTTGCACTAGACGCTGCCTAGAAATGCTGTGTGTCTTAATGAGCAATCTAAATGCTGTTTCTCTTCTCTCATGTAGATGCTCCTGGATCCAATGGGCGGGATTGTGATGACCAATGATGGTAATGCTATTCTTAGAGAAGTGAGTCTTCAGTTTTGATACCTTTTCTTAAGCAGATACTCAGTGATTTCCACATTGCGTTGCCCACGTACATTTGCAGTGATTTGGACAACTCTAGAAAATAATCATATCTAGCCCTTATGTAGTATTTAAAAACTGTATCCTCCCAACCCAGACAGAGGATGGACAATGAACTTGTTGAGTTCCTGTTGCTACTAATTTTCTCTTAACAGAACCACTTGTAGCTTCATTCTTGGCACATAAATGTGTTTCAGGGTATATGCATACGTAACTTGCACAGATTTGCCTCTGGAGTTTGTTACCTTGCAGCTGATAAATATTTCGTTGTCTTAAATTAAAAACACAATAAATGTTGTCAATTTGAAATTCAGATCCCATTACATCGTTTCTCTTTTACTGTGGTTGGCCGAGAGGGTAAGTTTCAATAGAGCTAACGAATGAGAAATATTTATACAAAAATATGTTGGTGGCAAAAAACAAACCCCAAACCAAGCCCACAACTCGGTAAA